GATTTACGATGTGTACATATTTATTTATAATAACTTGCTAACTATTTTCTAGACAATCATGTAATAACATTTCTTATCTTATTTTATTTTTTCCTGGAATATAAATCCACAGCTGTTGCAAACGTTGTGTTTTCTACGAAACATTGCGGTTGATGAAAGACTGAAATCCAGAGAATTCGGTCATCAGTTAGCGAAATGCTACATGCTAAAAACAATGTTTCCGGGACAGTACGGGTCGTGCAGCCACAATGCAGAAAGTGCAGGACTTCATGTGACTCACTGTCTGAAGTTGAAGAGTGGCAGGGTGACCCAGCCCAGGGCCTCAATGCTGCGCCGCTGTTTGCCCTTCTCCTCTCCTCCTCCAGGGGGCGGAAGAGGGCTGGCGTACAGTGTGACGGTTAGCTGAGACTCTCTGGGCAGCTGGTTGATCTGCACAGGGAAACACACCCTGGGGAGTTCAAGAGGAGTAGTTAGTAAGGTGGTGAGACTGTTAATACAAACACTCATGTTTTAAATCAAAGAGCTCGATGGACGAACAACGTGTGCATCAGGAAACCTCGCCGGGAAAAGACAAACCAGGGTTTGTCCCCAGAGACAGGCCAGGAGGGGATAGACAAGCCAAGGCTTTTAGAGCTTGACCAGAACAAATTAAGAGAGACAGGATTCCACCTTCACATGGATCCACCACCTATGAAGAGGACTGTTAGGATCTGGAGCCAAGGTGCAGGTCCAAGCTACCAAGAAGTATGTCAGGCAGCAGCAAAGGAAGGATCCCTGAGCCAGGCCAATTCTAATTAAACAGGCTATAGGGACATGACATGTCACATCAGTTGTGGGTAAGCAGCTGAAGCTTGTGTGTGAGGTTGAGCGATAACAGCTAGATATATATAGTTGGGCTCACCTCTACTCCCAGCTTGTGTCCTGGGACACAACTCCTGGACAGAAGCTGGACCCTTTCCTACTCTGCAGTTACCCAGGGGTTAGAGTTTACCTTTGTGAATCAGAGGATTGCCTCCCTGCTGCTTTGACATGCAAGACAGAAGGTTCTGACTGTCTTGTACCTTTGTACCACACAGCTGTTCAGATTACCTTGTCTTCTTGGAGTCTAGACGATGGCCTAGAAGGAGTGCTATCAAGGGGTTCCACCGTTTTACTGGGTGGCTCTAATGTCTGTGTAGGCAATGATGGAGCTGTCCAGACGAGAGTTTGATTGGTCTGAACTTGAATGGTGTTCTGTCAATGGCATGAGCTGTCCTTGACTCAACATCCTGTTGGAGCATAGGGTGGTCTATAAGTGTACATGGTACCAGGACACCTTAGGTCAACGGTCAATGATTGATTTGTATTCTAATTTTAGATCTGTGTCTCAGACACTCAGGTGAATAGAGGGAAGAGTTGTCAACTGATAACCACCTGGTGGGGGGGGGGGGGGAGTATAGGCTGCAGGACAGACCTAGATCCAAACACATATTGAGGGTGAACTGTGAAAGTCTGGTGAAGCCCCCTGTCCGTACGATCTTAAACTCTTACCTCCAGGTGATTTTTTACATGTCCCAGGGAAGTCAGGGACATGGAATCTGAACGATGCGTGTTCAAGGCTACCATTTCAGAAACAACTTTTAGGAGCTGTGGTCAGGAGGTCATTGGTGCCTGTCGCAGCAACAACTGAAGTACTCGTCTGGTCTGGTGGACTCCAGCTGGCACAAACACTCAGACATGAGAAGAACTCAGAGAGGCCAGGGACAAAGACTTCTGGTTGACCTTGAGGAGGTTGTGGCAAACTGTTAGGACAGCAGGCTGGTTGTCCTGATCCAATAACAGTGCAGGGGTGCTGATTTTGCACAACCATGGTGACTGAAAGTACAGACCTACTAGGTTGTTTTGCAACTGCATCTCAAGCTGAGATATCTGCAATCCACCAGTGTGTGGCGTCTCTCAAAGACCTTCAGTGTACACAGAAGGAAATATTCATCCTGACAGACAGTCAAGCTGCTATTAAAGCTCTCCGAGGGCCACACTTTACGTCATTACTGGCTTGGGAGTGTGCCGAAGCAGTCAACCAACTGGGGAGAGATAACAGTGTTCCTGTTAAATGGGTACGAGGACATACTGGCATTTATGGTAACCAGAGAGCTGACTACCTCAGACTCACTTCAAAGGACCAGAGCCTGTTGTAGGTACCTCAACAACAGTCTGTAGGACTGCCCTACAGGCCTGGATTAGACGTCAACACTCAATCTGCTGGAGGGAGCTGATGGATTGTAAACAGGTACAGGAACTGATTAATGATCCAAATCTAAGGTTTGGGAAAGCTCTCATCTCCCTGTCAGGAAAACTCTAAGTACACTGGTTGGAGTCCTAACTGGGCAAAATCTGCTCAACCACAACAAAATGGTGATGGGACTCCATGACAATGGTCTGTGTGATGCCTGTGGCATTGAACTACAGACCTCTTTGCACTACTTAGACCACTGTGTGGCTCTGAGTGGTCAAAGGAAGAAAATTCTGGGGAACCTTTTATGGATGCTGAGAAGATCAGAACACTGAGTGTTTATAACCTGGTGTCCTTCAGCTGAGGGACGAGAAGGTTTGAATAAAGACCAGAGTCTTTGTGGGGACAGCAATGGGCCCACTTAGGAGGCCCCCCACCGACATGGGGTTTTACCCATCCCAGTCACTATAACCATACCAAGCAGGTCACAGGAAGTTCACTCTCCAGTCTACATGTGTTTTGTGGGCCTTCTGTTAGTGTCTTTGGACCTGTGGTGTACATCAGGGCAGTTTGCTGTCGAGTGTGAAGCAGCTGGGATGAAAGTCAGATCCTCTTAGTTTCAGACCATGGTTCTCATCCTCCAGGTCAGGGGGAGTCTTTGTCTCGGGCGCAGGACTTCAGGTATCTGTCTTGTTCCTGACTGATGGTAGGACGGAGCGACAGATAGATGGACTGATCAGGGTCTTGACGTCAGTACTGGGGGAGTTGCTTTGGTCAGTCGAGGTGAAGAAAGAGTCAAAAGACAAAGATCTGGTTTCACTGGTCCAGACACATTCCAACCCTCAGCTGCAGTCATGAGGTTTGGATCAGGATTGAAAGGACCAGATCCTGGATCCAGATCCAAGCGGCCAAAATGATCTTCCTCCACAGGCTGGTCTGGTTCAGCCTTAGAGACAGGGTAACTGCTGGTCAGACAGGTGAGACTCAGGTACGTACCTCTGGTCCCAGACCACCAGGTGGAACAGGTATTTGCTGACAGCCTGTTTGCTGGTGTGCTGAGGTGCGCAGAGCTCCGCCCCTCCATGAGTCAGAGAGCAGGACAGGAAGAAACCTTCATAACTGAAGAAGGACAGAGCAGACACACACAGGTCATGAGAAATCAGAAGTCAGGTCAGCTGACGGCTGCAGTTGGACCTCCTGTTGGATCAGAATTTGGATCTTCAGCAGATCTATTGGTTGGCTGAGAAAAGAGACAAGATGCAGAAAACAACATATGAAAAACTCTGACTACAAACTGAGGTAACAATCAGGCTCCGCCCCCTCTGTCAGGTCAGGGGGCAGGACCGACTCTCTTTTGTTTCAGGACGACACAGAGCTGGTCTGAGATGGGTCTGAACCCAGAACCAGATCCAGATCCAGAGAGCTTCAGGTAATCTGTAGGATAAGTTTCATGAGACACTACAAAACAAATTTACAGAATAAAACTCAAAGAGCAGAACATGCAGCTGTTAGAGATGTTTCTGATCCTTAAAACCTCATTTAAATGATTTAAGCATAGAGACAGAATCAGCTGAAGTTTAAATAAATAAAAACATTTGAGTCTTTGAGGATTTAATTCTGAGCTGTACTGTGGGAACAGACGTGACGTCACATGTACTCAGTACTTTAACTGGGCCGGCACACACCGGTACACAGTACCACCACTACTCAGTTTTACCCCTCAGCGTACTGAAACTTATTTCCTGAGTCCGCTGCATTCCTGAACTGTTGTAAAACCTGCGTTTCCCATTTCCCTCTGCTCCCTGTACACACAGCTCTGAACCACGCAGGCTGAGGAAGAGAAAAGAAAAAAGGAGTGTGCGTGCTCGCTCTTGGCCGGCAGCGCACTCTTCTCTCACACAGACTGAGTTTATGAACAGAAAAAGAACGGAAAAATAAGACAAAAAAAATGCATGAAAACAGGAAATCCATGAGCTCCGAGACACTTAGACAACAAACAGTGATGAATTGGACTTTTCTGGGTTTGATTTAGAACTGGTTTTGTTCTGTCAGTTTTGTGCAATAAAACTCCACATATACAGAGATAGATTTATATAAAAACATCACGTGTCTCTAACCCATATTTATAGCATATTATGGGAGTACGGCCCTTGTTTTTCCACTTAAAGCACTGCATGTACTGCACATGCCCAGTAGGATTGTCAGTCCGGTGGTACCTGGCAGCCCAGGTGATGGGCACGCGGTGAGCTGCGTACACGGTGAAGGACAACACGTTGGTGACGAGGCCGGCCTCCTGGACCGGCGCCGTGCAGCTCTGACTCTGTGGCGTTGTGTGGAAGTTGGCATTAAACGTGCTGCAGTAGAGTTCCACCAGGTCCAAGATGGCCGCCGTCAGCTTCTCCACCACGGACTCTGCAGGTGGACATCAGACAGCAGGCGTCAGGTCCACACACCTGACAGGACATGTTACTGATGTGTTCGTACCTCGGTTCTCTCTGAGCGCCAGCACTGAGGCATCCTGGGAAAAAAGAAGAGCATCAGACGGAGCGTCTCCTCAGCTCTGCACCTGTTCGGTCACACTCACCTTCAGCACTTTGGGCTGCAGGCGACAGGGGCATGCTGGGAGCTGGTTCAACGCCGCCGTAACATCAGGTGTTTCCACCGCAGCCAGAGAGCTGCACAGCGCCTTCACCGATTGGACCAGACGCTCCACGTGCAGCGGCAGCTCCACCTTCAGCAGGAGGAGGAGACAGGTGTGTGTTACCTGAGACAGGTGTGTTACCTGAGACAGGTGTGTGTGTGTTACCTGAGACAGGTGTGTGTGTGTGT